GGTATCAGTCGCCGGTGTTGATCCTAGCTTTGCTGCTGCCGCTGTTTGTCATTCCTCCAATCAGTAGTGTGCTTTCACCACATTGTTGTCCTCCTAATCATGAATATCTAATCACACTGCTGTACCCATCACAGTAGCAAACCCCTCGCAGTGTTATTTTCCTTTGCAAGCGTCGTCCCTTGCTGCACCACCGCAGTGTTGCTCTATCAAATCGCCACACCCTTCACAGAGATGTCCTATTCATAGCACTATTCCCCTCGTATTGTAGCACAACCCTGTCGTAGAATCGTGTCCTTGTTATGTAACCACAGCGCTGCTCTTTTCTTAGTACCGATCTCCTCACAATGCCGCTTATGTCGCGCTGCTGCTCTCCTTGCCATACTTCTCTCATCGCGCCGCTAGTCCAGCGCTACCCTCATCAGAGAGGCAACCCTTCTCGTTCTGATGTTTGGTCATTGTTTGGCCAGCCTGATATCCTCATAAAATATCCTTCAATTTATTTTCTCGACAGTTATGGTGTTTCCTTCTTCACCGAATCTTCCATCCTAGGCCGAAAACTCCATTATCCAATCTTCTCCTTCCTACTCGGTTTCTTCATCCATTACTTGTCATCGTCTCAATGGTGAGAATTACATTGCTTGGTCTCAATCCGTGCATTTGTTCATCACCGGTCGCCGAAAATAACAATATCTCTCTAATAATATGTCGGTCCTCGATCCCTCCAATCCCTAATACGACACTTGGCTCACCGAGAACACCACATTCATGTCGTGGATCCACAACTCTATGTTGTTTGACATTAGCGTGAACTTCATACTCTACACCACTGCCTCAGAAATTTGGAACGCTGCCAAGGAAACATACTCCAATCAGGAAAACTCGTCCACCCTGTTTGCCATTGAATGTCGGATCAATGACTTGAAGCAGGGTGATCTTACTGTTATGAAATACTTTACTCAGTTATCTCGTTTATGGCAGCAAATTGATCTGTTCGAAACTCTTGCTTGGAAAACCGAAGCAGATGTTAAACTCTATAAAGGGTTGCTTGAAAAATGAAGTATTTTTTAATTCATGTGGGGGTTGTCCGTCTCTCTTGATGACGTTCGTGGCTAGATTTTGGGCATCAGGACTCTTCTATCTCTTTGCGAGGTGTTCTCTGAAGTCCTTTGTAAAGAAATTCATCGCTCTCTGATGCTTCCGTCATCCGTTGAAAGTTCTGCCTTGAATATTCATTCCTCTAGTGACACTCGTGTCAAGAAATGCCATCCCTAGTGCGATCACTGCCAAAAATCTGGTCATATTCGTGATAAATGCTGGAAACTACATGGTCGTCCAGGCAATTGGACTCAATCAAAATCCTCCTCTCGTCCATCCCACGGTAACTCTGTTGTAACAACATTGGAAGGTGGTTCCTTTTCTCGTCAATAGTTGGACGATCTATGGCAAATTTTTGGTCATTTACAGATTTCTTCTGCTGCTGAGCCCAATTCTGCCTGCACTGTTAGCGAAGATAGTTCTCATTTTTCCTCCTTATCTCCTTCACCCGGATGTGTCTCTTGGATGGTTGATTCCGGAGCAAGTGATCATATGATGGGTAACTTCAGTTTATTTTCAACATTTCACAAAAATGGTATCTCATGCAGTGTGCGTACTGCTGATGACTCCCTATCACCATTTAAGGGCAGTGGCAGTTCGCATTAATAGCCATATTATTTTTTCTAATATTCTATTTGTTCCAAGTTTTACTTGCAATCTTCTTTTGATTAGAAAATTATATACAAATTTGGGTTGTACTTATCATTTTACTCATGATCATTGTGAATTTCAAGATTTGACCTCGGGATGGTGATTGGCAATGTTAGACGTCCTAGTGGACTCTACATCCTTGACACTCCTCCTTATGCTCTCGTTCCAAACCACTCACCCACACCATTTATCTCTTTCTTTGTTTTAGTTTCTCCTACAGATGCGATTGCTGACATTGTGTTATGGCATTTTAGGTTAGGTCACCCAAATTTTCCTTATCTTGCAAAATTGTTTCCCAAATTATTTATTAATAAAAACCATGCATCATTTTCTTGTGACATTTTTTCTCTTGCAAAACACATTCGGAGCTCTTATCCTCATTCTCCTTCCCGCTTACCTAAACCTTTTTCCTTAATTTATAGTGATATTTGGGGACCTTCACGGGTTACGTGTTTATATGAAATTCGTTGGTTTATTACTTTTATTTATGACCACTCTCGTAGCACTTAGACATTTCTTATTAAGGACAAATCAGAGTCTTGTATCATCTTCAAACGATTCCACAAAATGTTTGAAACACAATTCCAAAGTTCCATTAGCATCTTGAAATCTGATAATGGTGGGGAATACCTCTCTCAGTCGTTGGGATCTTTCTTCCAGGAAAATGGAATAGTCTACCTCACTTCCTGTGTCGACACTCCACAATAAAATAATGTCACTAAACGTAAAAGTCGTCAATGTATCTTCTACTGAAAAAAGTACTGTCACATTCCAGAAACCATAGAGGAGGCATTAAAAAGTTCTAAGTGGAAGAAGGCAGTTGAAGAAGAAATTTCAGCTCTAGAAAACAACAAAACCTGGGTCATCGTTGATCTACCTAAAGACAAGAAACCATTCAGCTGCAAATGGGTCTTTATTGTGAAATTCAAGGCAGATGGAGAAATTGAGAGATATAAGGCTAGACTTGTGGAAAAAGGGTTCACTCAGACTTATGGAGTTGACTATCATGAGACATTTACTCCAGTTGCAAAACTCAACATTGTTCGAGTTTTATTATCCTTGGCGGTAAACAAGGATTGGATACTTCACCAACTAGACGTGAAAATGTATTTCTCAATGGAAATCTTGAAGAAGAGGTATATATGCAAGTTCCACCAGGAATTCATTCTGGAAATAACCATGTATGTAAATTACTGAAATCCTTATTATTAGAGAATTAATTATAATAGATTTTATCTATATTTTAAATTATTGTAATAAATTATAATATTCTTGTAATTAGTTGTAATCCCCTAACTCTAGGCTAGTCTCCTATTTCTATGCCTTGTAATTAGTTGTAATCCCCTAACTCTAGGCTAGTTTCCTATTTCTATGTGTCCAATTTTGTGTATATATATTCACTCTTAATCAATAGAAAACTCAAGCCATTGTTTCTCATTACTCTTCTCTCTATTTCAACACTTATATGGTCTAAAACAATCACCTCGAGCTTGGTTTGATAGATTCACGAAGGTAATATTTCAAGACAACTACAAACAGTGTCAATTCGATCACACACTGTTTGTAAAAACTACTCCTGATAAGAAGAAGTCAATGTTAATTGTCTACGTTGATGATATCATCATCACGGGTGATAACTTAGTTGAAATCGAAAAGTTGAAGACTTTACTAGAAAAGGAATTTGAAACCAAAGATTTGAGAACTCTAAGATATTTCCTAGGCATGGAGGTAACGAGATCACGAAAAGGAATTGTCATAAATCAAAGAAAGTATATTCTAGACTTACTTTCTAAAACTGGAATGACTAATTGTAAGCCCTCGGAAACTCCTATGGAAGTTAACTTAAAATTGAGTAAAGATGGAAACCCAGTAAACAAGGAACATTATCAGAGGTTAGTGGGTAAACTCTTTTATCTATCTCTAACTAGACTTGACATTGCTTTTCATGTTAGCATTGTGAGTCAATACATGAATGATCCGAGAGAAGAACATATGGAGGCAGTCAATCGAATCTTAAGATATCTAAAGATGACACCAAGACATGGGTTGATTTAAAAAAAACATGAAGACAAAACAGTTAAAATATTCTCAGATTAAAGTTGGACTGTAGAATTAACAGATAGAAGGTCAACCACAGGATATTGCTCATTTGTATGGGGAAACCTAGTAACATGGAGGAGAAAGAAACAATCAGTAGTCTCCAGGAGCAGTGCAAAAGCATAATATAGGGCGATAGCACTTGGGATGTGTGAGGGAATTTGGCTACAAAGACTCTTAACCGAACTAGAGATGTACGACAACAACTATTTTGAACTTTAAAGTGACAGCAAATCTACGATAAGCATTGCAAAGAATCCGATGCACCATGACAGAACAAAACATGTGGAAATAGACAGACATTTTATTGCAGAAAAAGTAAATGACAGAACTGTGAAACTAAACTACATCTCTTCACAAAACCAACTAACCAATGTATTGACCAAGGCATTTCCAAGGATTTCCTTTGACGAAATTACATCCAAGATGGGTCTTCACAATATTTACTCCCCAGCTTGAGGGGGAGTGTAAGTAGTGTTTAAGTTAAACTATTCATCCTAATTTATCTCTAAAACTACTTCTTAATTTGTAGAAAAGATGACTCATATTTTTTCTAGGTCTATGATTCATGTGTATAAAAAGCCTATGTACCTCTTTGTAAGATGCAATTTTCCTTTGAATAAAAGAATTTTAATTCTTTCACTACCGGAAAAATCTAGTTCTTTACATTAAGCTTATGGGGGAGCTGCTCAAATCTTGTTCTCCGTTATATTCTTAGTAATTATAATTTGACATGTCAAAAACAATTAAGAACATGTATTATATAAACATGTGGTTTCCAACTAGGAAGTTCTCAAATTTTCAACAGCAACCTTACTTAGGAAATTGAACAAAATTTCCCCCCATAATGTCATCAATGTCGTCAAACTCAAAAGGCCGGTTTGCATTTGAATAGTTCAAACCCTCTTAAATTTGTAATATGGTGAACAGACTAAATAAGATGGACAAATGTCAAACACAAGAAAGACTAGTAATTTCATAGTATAAGATTCTAGGTAGAGGAAAGGGTGTTTTTCACTTCTTTGAAAGATTCAGCATCGGACCTATGGTAAGAAAACAAGTACATACCATGATTAAAAAAGTACAAGAGAAACAGCAGAGAAAATTTCAGTCCACTCAGATGTTGAACAAAATAGTCAGTGGTCTACAAAGAGTCGAGAAGCTATCACCTGAATAGCCCAAGAAAATTGCTTGTCAAAGACCAATCCACTAGCCCAACACAACTACCAATGAAAAATGGCAGAGAAATCCACGAGGGATGGCTAATTCCCACAACCAGCTGAACAGCAGGTAGAAGCAAACAGGAAGCAACTTTAAGATGGGAACCTTTCATGAAGTAAAACATGGAAATAATTCTATATCAATTTCAATAGAAATATAAATGTCTCAGGTAATTAGTAAAATAAAATAAAACTCATTGTAATTTGAAGTTCAGGAGCTGAACCAATAAGAATATTAAGAAAGAAATGCTTCAAGATAGTTTTAACTTTTCTTTCTTTTACACTAGTGTCAGACCGGCAAAGCAATGACTAACTGACAACAGCATAGGCTTAAAAGGCATTAGATTTCTATATAAAGTTACAAAGTTGACTGCAACGCAATTAAACGGCAAAATCATTTCTGTTGATAAACCAGTGAAATAGCAACCTACCAAACTGACACATTATTTATTATTAATTCATTCTGCACATACATTTGATATTACCGATTTGTCAAGGACATCACTCAATTACAGTAGAACTTTAATGCAAAAAATACAAATAATTGGTGCAAGAAGAAAATGCAACATGCTATTTTATTACAAATCAAAACCCGCGACTAAAATGACAAGAACTTTTCATTGAATAAAAGGCAAAATAATGTTTTAGAAGTTCTAGTAGTAAGCTTTCAAGTAGGCTACAGGGGTAATTTACATCCTAGATCACAAAAACTTAACTTCAACTTTCATTTAGATCACAAACCTTTAGTTTAATCAAATTACATCATTCAACTTTTATTATTAATTGACTGAAGCCACCCAGCAGATAGCCATGTAAAAATATAACTCTATAAGAAACCCAGAAACAATAGCAACAGTTAATACATAAAGATGTAAAGCGCATGGATCCCAGAGCCAAACCTAAAGTCAATTCGGAGAAATCCTGTAGTACTTTCAGTACATCCAAAGATCTTGTTTTGCTGCTAATTTTTAACTTTTCAATATCTAAAAAAGCGATGAGCGAGTCTAGAAGCCAAAGAGTTCGAAAGCTCCCCACTGGAGCAATATGGTCTGCTTTCATTGATAATCTTAGTAGAAATGTTCATAAGATAACCTTATGGGAACTGTTCAATCACCATGGAAAGTTTACAAAGGTTTATATCCCTAGTGTGAATAAGAGACTAAAGTATAAGGTGACTACTTTTGCTTTCATCCATTTCGCGAGTGAGGGAGATCTTCTCAAGGCTGTTCAGAAGTTAAACAATGCCATGGTCGACGGAAAGAGAATCTCAGTTAGAGTTGCAAGATATCCGAAATCTTAAGATCAGATAAGATTAGAAGTAGATAGAGCGGGGGATATGAAGAGCCGGAGAAGCAATTCTTTTGAGCTTTTTGAAGAAATGAATGTTATTTTCAATAAGTTTTATGATGGGAGATCGTATAGAGATACAGTGGTTGAAGATAGAACAAAAAACTGAGTCACCAAGAAAAGGTTAACGATGGTCCAGGGGGTTCGAAGGGTCCGTTGAAGATTTTTATTCCCTTGGAAGAAAGGGTTTGGATAAAAGCATCCCTAACTGATATTTGTAAGTATAATCATGAATCAGGGTTCATTCAAGAGGCCATTTATAATGATAGGGTTAACGCCAAGGTGGCCAGATGGGGATTCACTAAGAATGCTTATATAATCACGTTCCCGTCGGAAGATGATCGAAAGGAAGCTTTAGAGAAGAAAATTGAAGTTCTAAACTCTTGGTTTGATTGGTTAGCTCATGTTTCTCAAGAGGGGGTTCCATTTCCATTTTTCTCTGTTTCGCTAATAGTTGTGCCTCTCAATTGCTGGAGTGAGGGTTTTTTCTCCAATTTAGCTAATAGATGGGGGTCGTTGGTGAAGATACAAGAAGGAACACTGAAGAAAGTAGATTGTCGTGTTGCCTATATGCTTCTGAGAGTTGCGAGCCCATTTGATGTGCCAAGTTCAATTTCGATCACAACTAATGGGAGACAGTACTTGATAAAAATAAAGGTGGAAGAAATAGAGGATTTCTTCCCATATTGTTGATAAGGATGAAGAAGATGGTTCAGATGATGAATGGAAAGATGAATTATCGAAAAGTTTTCAGAATGATGAGACAAATGGTGAGGGTGTGGAGGAAGGTCAACAACCAAAAATGAATCCTCAAGGAAGAGTGGAGACATGGATCAAGGAAAATCTGGCAGGCATCAACTTTGGGAATAATTGTGAAGTTAATGATGTAGCTAGCTCGAGGGAAAACAGTTTGGAAGTCTCGATGAGTGATGAGTTGGATACTTCTGGGGTCCACACGAATAAGGCTTTTTTGGATAATGGGAACGTGGGCATGAACAAGGTAGGAACTGAGGACAGCTGTCCAGATAGGCAAGATAATAATGGGAAAACGATTGGGCCCTATCATATCGTTTCAAATAAAGAAAACAATGGTATTTCTTTGAATGTGCCGAGAAGGGAGTTAAGACTCAGAAAACTTTATAAAAGTGATTGTGCGGCGAAGTGCTTGAGAGAAAATGGTGTTAATATTGGATATGAGGATAGAAGCTCTCGGTCGAGCTCTCAAAATAGGTCTCTTTTACCAGTTCATGGCCGTCCATCAAGAAGAAGCGCTTCTGTCGATAGGAAGAGAATCGACTTCTTCAAAAGGGTGTATTGTATGTCAAGGAATAAGAGTAGGTCAACAGTCATAGATAGGGGGAATTCTGGTGAACCTTCTAAGCAAAATGAGGCGGTGGAAGAGGCAATAGCAGCCTGGGAGACAAATAATTTGTTGGGAGTTACCTTTAGAGGAGGGAAGAAAGCCTTTGTATAAAAGGTTGCTATTATAGCAAATGAGAAGACGAATTTGTGGGAAATTAATTTTCCAGTTGTGTGAAGCTTTTTGTTTGTAGTCAGAATGGTTAAGTTGTCAATTATTTCGTGAATATGGAGTTTGGGTCAAAAGGAAAAATCCTGAGCGATGAGAAGGTTAGTTGATGGGAGAAGGCCTTTTTTCTGTTTATTCAAGAGTCAAAAGTGGAGTCTGCAAAACTATCATTGTTGAGGAGGATTGGGGGTAAGGTATTGGATGGAGCTGTGGTATCCCCTTCAAAAGGTTTAGCAGGGGAACTGATCACGAAGTGGGGTGAAAGGGTGTTTAGCATCCAATATGAGTTCATTAACATAAGGTTTTAGCTATCAAGGGTAAATTGAATGGTTTCTGGAGGATTGTTGTTTTATTAATGTTTATGGGCCTTGTTTAGATTCTGAAAAGGAATTATTCTTTAGTGATATGTTGTCTTTTATTGAGCAGGTCGATTGTCCTATGTGTATAGGTGGAGATTTTAATGCAATTTTGGAACAGAATGAGAAGTTGGGGAGGGGTTTCAATTTTTCTTTAATGAGAATATTCTGTGATTTTGTTTGTCAAGCAAGGTTGGTTGATCTTCCTTTAATAGGAGGTTGTAATAGATGCTGAATCTCTTTTTGTCGATCAAAGTTTTTTAACTCAGTTCCCTAAAGTGAGTCAGTATTTGCTCCCTAGGTCGATCATTGCTATAATATTGGAAAATGGCAAGGCGAATTGGGGGCCTAAACTTTTCAGGATGTTTAACTATGTGTTGGAAGAGAGATTTCAAAGATATGATGATGAATGAATTGAAAAAAACTTCAAGAAGATAGCGGGGGAAGAGGTATCTACGAGGTGTTAAATGGTGCAAAGTTAGTGATCAAAAGATGGACAAAAAATGAATTCAGGGAGCTTCCAGGAAGAATAAAGAATATGAAGAAATAAATCCATGAAATGGAATTAGCATTAAAGCAATGGTCACATTCACTCTCATTGGAACTAGTGGCGAAAGCGAAGAGGGAATTGTGGGAGTTGTATAAAAATGATGAACAAATATGGTTCCGAAAATCGAAGGTGAAGTGGAGTTTAGAAGGGGATAGGAATTCTCGTTTCTTTCATCAGTGTGCTACAAACAGAGGGAGAGTGAATTGTATTACGTCACTGAAAGTGAAATGAAAGTGGGTTTCGAAACTGGGTTTGATTGAAAAATTTGTGGTGGATTTCTTTAGAGATGCTTTTAATCAAAAAATAACGCTCGAATTCAAAGAGATGGATATGAATTTACCAAAGTTATCGAATGATCAGAGCTCATCTTTGGAAAAGGAAATTTGGGAGGTAATTGTTGCGTTGGATAGTAACAAAGCTCCTAGATCGGATGGGTTAAACATAGGGTTCTTTAAAATTTTATGGCAGATTTTGAAAAGTGACATATTGAGCTTATTTAGTGATTTTCTTTAGGGGAAAGGTATGAGACAAGGAGGTGAATCACTCTTTTATAACCATTAATCCCAAGAAGATCAATCTAGAAGGTTTGGATAATTACCGACCAATTAGCCTTGTGGGGTGCTTTATAAAATTATGTCAAAGGTATTATCAAGAAGGTTACACTCTTGTATGGACGAGATTATCGGTCCATCTCAATTCGCTTTCACACCGGGGAGACAGATCATGGACTGTTTGTTTATTGCGAATGAGTTCATTGAATTTCGGAGGAAGAATGGGTTGAAGGGGGTCGCTTTTAAGGTAGATTTCAAGAAAGCGTATGATTCGATGGATTGGGGAATTTTTCTAAAAATTATTTTTTTTTTATAGGAATAAAAGGCCTCAATAAAACCCCCTTGGTGATTAACGGAACTTAAAAATAGTTCCTTAATCCACACAAGGAGGAAAGGAGTGCCCTAGGATTCATTAAACTCAAATATAACAAAGTAATACAAACCAATCTCCCTCAAGAGATACAAAACCAGAAAGAAACAGCCCTTAACAGAGCATAATTCAACCAATACCCGCCTTAGCTAGGACATCCGCCTCTATATTGGCTGTCCTACTAACCCAACTAATAAAACCTTCAAAAACACTAAGCTTTTGAATAATGTCTTTAACTATTTGAACATAAACAACAGGACAAGAGACCACATCCTTAATCCAGCCAACTGCCACCTGACTATCACTCTCAATAATCAATCTATCTTTAACCCTATGACGAATAGATTCAAAAAAATCTACACCCTTTAGGATAGCCTTCAATTCCATTAAAGTTGGGGGCCCCGGACCAGCAGGCTCTTTGAAGGAGCCAAGAATCGAACCAGACATGTCTTTCAAAATACCACCTAAGCCACTCCTCTTCCAATCACTCGAGGTAGCCGCATCCACATTAAGTTTAACAAACCCTTTTGGAGGAGGGGACCAAGGAAACACGGTTGAAACCCGATTTTATAGGCTTTGGTATGAGATGGTGTTTGTGGATTGAGTTATGTTTGTCATCGACGTCCATTTCTGTTTTAGTTAATGGTTCTCTCACATAAGAATTTAATATTTTGAAAGGGTTTCGCCAGGGGTGTTCTCTGTCACCTTTACTTTTCAATATTCTAGGTGAGCAGTTGAATCTTTTGTTAACTAAAGCTGTGAATGTTGGGTTGTTTAGAGGGTTAGAGATTGGTGGTCAAGGGCATTCTCTAATGCTTTCACACTTGTAATTTGCTGACGAATTAATTATTTTTTGTAATGCTTCTTTTGGGGAACTGAGGAACATTAGTCGGGTCTTATCAGTCTTTGAATTAATGGTTGGTCTACAATTAAATATGACAAAGAGCAAGATTTATGGAATCAATATGAAGGTTGATATTATTAATGATTGGGCATGTTCATTGGCTTGCTTGGTTGGATAATTTCTGGTAGATTACTTAGGGCTTCCTATTGGGGGAAAAAGGAATTCAACATTGATTTAGGATCCTATAATTCATAGGTTTCAAAAGAAGTTAAAGGGCTGGAAGATGGCACCTCGTATTTAGCAGGAAGGGTTATGTTGATCAAGTCTGTGTTAAGCTCCTTACCAATGTATTTTCTGTCTTTATTCAGAATTCATTCATGTGTGCTAAAGACGTTGAACGCTATTATGGCTGGTTTCTTTTGGGGAAGTGGATGTGGAAAATGTTATATGCTATGTCAACAATTTTGACCTGAAATCTTTTGCGGTTGATAAATTGATTTCCCCAAGAGCTTCTTGGATATGGTGATAGCTAAGAATTATTTTTCGTGTCATGATTTTGGTGTTTTTAAGGGTAATACTCACATTATGGTCGACAATGGTGAATTAATTTCGTTTTGGCATGATGCATGGTTAGATGGAGTGCCCTTGAAAAATTAATTTCTAAGATTGTTTATCCTCTCGACTAACAAAGAATGGAGGATTGTTGACTTTAGGATAAAAAAAACTCTTCTGATTGGATTTGTGATATCCAGATGAGGAGGAACTTGACAGATTTTGGAGTTGAAGTAGTGACTTCAATTTTATTCGTTGTTATGCAATTTTCACTCCTCGGAGTTGATTGATGATAGTTATGTTTGGTCTGGATAGGGAGATGGTTGTTTCTCGATGAAATCATGCATGAGGCTTATGTTTGATATGTATGAAGTTAATTTTTTATGGCCAAAATATGTGGCTTGGGTTGCCCCTCCTCGGTTGGAGACTTTTGTGTGGTAAGTGGCTCACAAAAAGGGGTAGTAAAAGGCTAATTAGTTAAGCGTGGTGTATTGGGGATTGAAGATCAATCGTGTCCTTTGTGTAGTGTTTATCCAGAATATGTTTCTCATCTTTTTGTTTCCTGCAATATCTCTTGGGGTCTTTGGACGAGTTTCATGAGTATGTGGAATATCTCTTTCACTGTCCCCAATAGTTCGTTCGATTTACTCTCGGTCTAGTTTGGTTTTGTCCCAAATTCGTCCATATGTACCTTTATCCCTAGAGCAATATCGTTGTCGTTTTGGAAGCAAATAAACGAAATTGTTTTTAATAAAGGTAATCTTGATCGAGTTCATCTGTTTTTCCTGGTAAGATACAAAGTGGCAATATGGTTTTCTTCAATGTTTCAAAATCATTCGGCCCTTTTTTTTTACAGTTTAGTGGACGATCTTTTGATAATAGGTTCCTACCAGTGTTCAAAAAAGGTTTATTCTATTTGTGAAGGCTAGTGTCCTCCTCTGTCAAATTATTTTAAGGTAAACGTGGATGGTACTATAGATAGTCATTAGCAGAATGGTGGCATAGGTGGTTTTCTTCGGGACGAAAATGGTGTAATGTTGGATTCATTTTCTGAGAATATTGGATCTGGTCCTCTAATTTTGGAAGAATTGTTGCTATTAAGAGAGGTTTACAGCTATTCTTGGAATCGGAGTGGGCATCAAGGGGAAGGCTAATTTTAGAGTCTGACTGTTTAGTTACCTTAGACCTTAGACTGGATCAATAATCCAGTTTCTTGTACTCCTTTGTTTAAGGCAATGGTGAATAACATTGCTAATATTGTGTCAAATAGGGGTGTGGTCATTAGGCATATTAAAAGAGTTGCCAACTACAAGGCAAAAGAGTTTGTTAAATTAGGGATTGGTTAGTTCAAATGAGGTTGCAAACTTCAAGGATTGGTTAGTTCAAATAAGGTTGCAAACTTCAGGGATTGGTTAGTTGCTATGTATTGGGTTGTTTGTTGTTTGGTGGTAGGTGATGTTTGGATGTATTTTGGTCTTTTGTACTATTGTTGTATCTGATTTTTAGTAATAAAATTTATGGCACTCCTTTCCTCCTCCTAATGTCCGTTAAGCTACCTTCGTAGCTTGACGGTTACAAAGGGGGTTTTTAACGAGTCCATCTTTTCTATAAAAAAAAAATTTTATTATTAATTAGTCAAGTCACTTATGCTAACACCGTAAAATAATTCTAACGAAAAACTGAATTGGCACTTTTACATATCATTATCAAATAATGTTTAATTGACAATTCAAATATTTTTGTTAGAATTTATAGAAAATTTAGTTTTTTTTCTTTTGAATTTATTTTAATGAAAGGTAACGAAACATTATTTTTTTATATAAGAAAACAAAACATTATTTAAATTATCAATTAAACATTCTTTGATGATGACATGCGAAATATGTTAAGTAAAAGTGTCGATTTCAGTTTTTTCGTTGGAATTATTTGACGGTGGTAGTATAAGTGACTTACTTTATTCATAATATAGTTGAACGATGTAATTGGGTTAAATTGAAAGTTTGTGATCTAAATAAAGGTGAGAATTTAGTTCAGTGATCTAGAATGAAAATTACCCTAGGTTACAGAGATCAATAATTTGACCTCCAATTCACAAGGTCCAACAGTGCACAAGAAAAATGTTCCAATAGTCAGAAAGTAAGCTATCATTGATACACAGAAAAAAGGGAGAATAAAAAGACTCCGCTACTGATTTAGAAGAGGAACAACTGGGAGGAGTGTTAAACATGATTTAGTCATGACAAAGTGAAAAAATCAGCTGTAGCTCATATCCTCTGCATGCAATGAGCAAATCCTAGAGCATTCATATCAGATTGCTAAACTGATCCTGTTTTGGGGTGGGGAGAGTACATAGTGCAACACAACACAATTAGAATAATAAGGAAACACTAAACAAACCTAAATGTTCAACAACTGTTAAGAAATCACCCCAACAAGAATACCGCCATGCAACAAGACCAAATCTGTTCCCGTGTATATCAAGCAAAGCAACAACTACCACTAGCAGTTGTGTGACCAAGAAATAGATCACAGTGGGAGATTTCCAAGACTGGATTCTGCAAATGCATACCCAAAGAGCCAAGAAGTCAGAATATGCAGAAACACAGAAGGGGCAAAAGAACTAGAGAAACAAAATATATTCTTACATCATAAAACCAATCAGCTTCATCCACCAAGCATTTCCTACACTTTGTTTATAACCTTCAACGGCCCATATAACAAAATATGCAGCTTGTGAAAGAAAGGCAAGAAGGGAAAAGACGATGACAGGCCATAGTAACAAATATTTCCTCCCGAAACGGGATCCTATAGGAAAGTAATCCCACATTCCGTTATATGTAATGACAACAACTTTAAATAAAGCAAAATTTTACCAGAAAATCTTGATTGCTTACCTATTTTGGGTGCAGTGTACTGAATAAGAAGGAAAGCTATCAAATCAACAAGAGAGATCAAACTCCAATTGAGCAATGCAGCTTCAAGAAAGAAAAGAACACGAAAAAACAATTAATTATTTTGATAGCAGAGAACATATGAAGTTTTCAAGTGACTCTTAACTAAAAAACCTTATACACTTGCCACCTTTTCGGGTCCCATAGTAAGGAAAATCAGATAATAAATTATATGCAGAATAAAAGCGAAGACTGCATGATGAGCTGTGTCATAAGCTAATTTTAAACTAGGTTATCCGGAAATTAGATTTTGTAAGTTTCAAAAAACTTGAAATGAATACATTTGATACTGGTCTAGTCCAAGATAGACCTATCCGAAAACAGAGGTGAATACCCAAACAATAGATTAAATGAATTGAAGGTTGCATATAAAAGCAAAGAGTAGTGTTCTCATCATGAACTTGTGAGCAGGAAACAAAATCCTTAATCTAGAACAAGCTAGAATAAAATAAAAGTTGATTTAGACTCTCCTCAACTGCCTAACACATCCCTCGTGGCAATTGGACTAGTAATTTCTTCATGGGATAGAATCCAGGAGTAAAATTTTAGGCGGGCAACTAAATCATACTGATAAACAAACGCACCCAAAAACTTACCTCAAATAATACATGTATAAAGCGGATTCCAACACAAAACATACCAAGAAAAAAATAGCACATGGGACGAAGGAAAAGAAGAAGAAGAAATGCTCAGTCTTTCATACCAATTTGTAAGGAGTGAAATTAAAGTAATGAGAACAAGAAACAAAGCATACCCATCAGAAGCAGCAGAGGCAAGGCAAACCCAGCAAGAAAACTCCCACTCATGAGATTAGGACTTCAATTTAACCAACAACCGGGTCGCTTCACAGAAAACGCAGAATCGGTTCCGGTTCATGGGTTTTCAGCTTCCATTAAAATCAGTGAAACCCAATTTCACGTCAAATTAAAAATTTCCTCCAACGTAATCAAAACAAGAAAATTTTGACTTGAAACCCGAACAAACTTCGGGTGACGTGCTTTTTCAGTAAAAGAACGGATCAGATGAATAAAACGGAATTAGCTATGGTTTTCTAAGGACAAACTCTAATCATCAAAATCTTATGCCCTAAAGTGTGTAAATATTGAAAGAGAATAAATGATAAAAAAATTAAAAAAAAGTACGATTTTGAATATAAAAAGAGTAAATTGTATCATAATTCATTCAATTATTAGCGAAATTACAATGGGTCACCTAATTTTAAAAAATTATAAATGAGATTCAATTAATCGATTATTACAAATGAATCACTCGAACGATCAGATCATGTGCCACCACCCTAATCATCATGAGTCATCATATATAGTGATAATAAACCCCAAATTATACCATAAGATTTTTTTTATCTTCCCATTTAATATACCAGATTAGATTCTTGAGAATCTCTCTTACAAATCATAAAATCACCTTAAAAACTAATAACTTCTTGAATCTCGATATACAACATCCTTCTCTAGATGGTTTTCTTCTCGAGATATGTTCTTTCTCTCATCAACCACGGCCTTTCCATTATTCAGATCATCAAATAGAGCCTTCAACCCTAAAATGAATTTTTTCCCGATTAATTGAATGACTCATTTGTGGCTTTTTAAAATTTAATGACCTATTTGTAATATTATTAATAAGTGGGTGGCCAGTCATAACCTTACTAATAATTAAATGGCTTTGGTGTAATTTACTTAATAAGAAGGATAATATATCTCTTAACTTTAAGCGTTTTATCATTTATATCATTACAATTTTATTTTTAATTTTTTATTATAATATTAAACTTTAATATTTATTTCAATTATATCACATAACCGTTAATATCATAATAACGTGGTGGTCGGTTGTCCACGCATAGGTTACACCTGCACGAGTTCGGTCTTTTCAAGAAAATGGAAGGAAAATATCATTTACTGTACAAGAAACGTGAATTTGAGTCGATAAGATACAACACTAAGTATCCAACCATCAATTCAACTTAACAATTTGTTATATTTATAACAATTTGTTATATATATATTAAATTGCAGTCGAGAAACATATACTTTATTTAATATTACTTTTTTAAATATTCTTAAAAATAAAATATTATTTTTATAAATACATTATTTATAGTTTATTCTAAAATTAGTTACAGGTTTTGCTTGTTAATGTAAAATGTCAATTTGGTATTATTTATGGTGGAAGTGGGCATTATGTTTCAAGATATAACCACTCTTTTACTGGATCCTAAGAATTCAAGGCTATAAATGACTGATGAAGAATATTCATATAATATTTTTGTGATGCTTTCATATTAGAATATGTGATATTATGCAAGAACAAAGTTATTTTAGTAGTTAAAGTAATAATTGATATCCTTAGAGATTTTGGACTCGAATACTAGCGACCGGGAGGTATTTAAACGTTCATTATCAAATGATTTAATATTTTTAAAATAATATTTTTAAAATATATATTATCATTTGTAATAACCCTAAATTAATAAAAAAATATATGTTATATTATTCTAAAAGAATAATATGTCATATTAACCAGTGATATTAGTCATAATTTAACTGTGTTAACAATTTACAATGCTATAGATATTAAAAGAATAAAAGAAATAATTATTCTTCAAATACTGAAGGGATACAAATAGTAGTGGACAATTTTATATTTAACCCAAAATAGAAGTAAGCTTATAAACTCAAAAACAAAACTTGTAGATCAATTTTTCAAATATTGCTTGATATAGTAAACTGAGGATTTTTCATATATATAAATTTGGGATCGATATAAGATAATATTTATGGGAGGTATTCTCAACCATTTGATAATAAACGTGCATATACGATACTCAAACACATGATCTTAATGAATAGCAATAATTCATTAACTATTAAGGCCACGTATGTGTACCAAACTAAGGATATTGAATATCTTTCAATGGGATTTGATGCAATACATTTATGGGATTTCAATCTCTAGTAGCAAAGATTAATTACCATAAAGGTGACAATAGATGCATTACATGCTCACTAAGTTCATAATGAACTCTTATTTTGATCATTTATAACGTACAAATATTGAGAAAATCGACAACATTTCATATTTGTGCAATTCAAATTTTGTTTTGGAACAATAAGACCTTGAGAACTAAGATTGTTCCGTCATCTTTCTCTTTGTTTTCTCAATAAAATTTTCAGAAACTTCATTAATATTCAAGCCCAAACCTGTAAGTTTCGGTTCCAAACCATTTGTTACAGGGATGATGCTCTTCTTAGTGCCTATACCATTTTGCAATGGGATCTCCTTCTTACCCGAATGATCGACGAATTCATTGCTCTTCTTCATCGCTTTATCACCTTCCGCTGCCGGACGGACAGACGAACTGAGCTTGTCGACCGGAGACCAATACTCGAGCTCCTCTGTTTCCTTGAAGTGAATCTTAACCGTAGGATCGGAATCATTGTCCTTCGGCTTCGAGTTCACCCTTTCCTCTCCATTCCCTCTACCAATGAGGCTGTTCATTATGAAATTGAAGAGCCTGCAGCAAATGCCATATTGCTGAAAATCCTTTCCTTTCTTCTGCATGTATTTGATGAAAGACTAGGCCAAAGAGGAGAAACAAGGGCTATTTGAAAATGTTTTTCTTTCTTTTGGCACTGCTTGAATGATTCTAAACTTGGGTTTTGGGGTTCAAAAAGAAAATGATTTACATGTTGGGTGAGCAAATTTTCTAAGTTACTGTATTTCCTAGAGGGGAGAATTTGTACTTTGCTTTCAAGTTAATTTGATTCCAAAGAAGCAACAAGAATCAGCTAGGGGAATTGATGATTGGTGCATGGAGCATTCATGGATTAATTTTTTTTTCTAATAGTGTGATTATAAACTAATATTTATTCAGAATATTTTTAGTCTATTAACATCGCACACATCTGACATACGCAACTGCTTAAACTTTAATAATCTAGAAAGAACAATAATCCCTTCTATCACTGAAGTCACTCTATGAATTTATTAAAATACCATGTAAAGTGAGGCGTTTTCTCAAGTCAAGATGGATTGTGAAAAAACAGTGGTGATGAAGATATTCTTTCTACACACAGCTATGGAATAAAGCCGACTGACACTTCTAATTAAGAATCTTCCCTGGCCCTTAAGTTTGAAAATGGATTAGCTTTATTTTCAAGTGTTTATTAATTTCATATATATATATATATTGAATGGCTATTTACATGTTGAGAAAAGCATAAATTCCCAAACAACATGCAACAGAAAGAAAAGACAAATGCTTTGTCTGTCTGTTTCACATAAAAGAGAACATTTTCTACGTGCTAATTGAAGAACAAGTCCTCATACTATTGCTTAAGTTTTAAATTAGTTTTCAAACTTAAAAACATTCTAATTAGTCGTCAAGGTATCAATATTTTATCAATCAAATCCTCTTGTATTAATTATATTGTTAGTATGGACACTAAATACTAGCTCAAATTTAACATGTAGCATTGTTGAATAGAACAAAAAAGGTATGACAATTGTTGGCGATTTATCCCTTCTAATTTAGGTAGAGAAACACAACTAACTGTTTAATGGCAGTTGGTTGGTGTTTAGATCATTTGTCTCTCCATAAAGAGGTAGAGGAGGAATAAGTGAAGAAAGTGATCTATATTATTCTTTCAATCTTAGATGAGAAGCTTTATAGTGGCTCTTAGTGTTGGTGTCAGGCCTAGGATCATGATGATCGTACATATGTTGATAGGATGAATAGACCGGTCTGTCAGTAAATCATATAGGCCTATTGATGTTCACATCAAGTAGATATAGTTTACCGACGAATATAGAACTCTGGAGACTTTGAGAAACTTCAGAGTTGTAGTCAAGCATGACCTAGAGAGGTGTAACAATTGTCCTTCCTTGACCGAGGGAATGTCATAAAATGACATGACCTGTGACATATGACAAAATGCACTTCTTATCAAGCTTTGAAACGAAGACCTATATATGGAATAACCATGATTTTGATCTAGAAAACACAACATTTGGTCTGATTTTCTATTTTTGAGGTTCTACTAGTAATTGATTCAAAATTGAGTTGCGCTTTCTTAATATTAAGCAAACAATTTCTGGTTGGGGGATTTGTCTAGGAGCTTATACATATATTCTGCGGAGAACTCTTAACGCTTTAGTGGAATATCTCATTTTATCATAGGTATATTGGTCAGAGTCATATTTGGTATCGTGTATGTTCCACTACAAATGATTCTCAACACTTTTGAGAGTTATTTCTACATTAAACGGAGATCAATGTCAAGTTTCCTCGACCTTAGCGAAGACATCTTGTAACCCCATAATTTTGTCCTAGATGTTGCAGTCAAATCTCAAAGGTTGTGTAACGCCCCGAATCTCAGGTTATAAGTTTCATGTTAACCCAAGTGGACCTTAGAATAAATCCATATACATTTTAGGAAGTCTTGGACCAAGTGGGCATTGGTTTGGGCTTGTTTGTGCCCAATGGTTTAGAAAATGAGGTGTTTTTAAACTACAAACAAAGGTAGAGTGATCAAGGGAGTAATTATACCATGTAAAAATTAAAAAGATGAAAATCCTTAATGGTTGATGTTATCACGTTGTTCCCCTTCTCTTTTTCCTTACTCTCTTTTGGTTTTTTCCTTCCCCTTCATCTCCTCATTCTTCTTCTCCAAGAACCAAGAAAAGGTTAGAACTTGTTAGCCACTAATTCTAATCCATACTATTGAAAGTAAGAATCATAACTAGCACCTTTAGATCTTCCATTAGAGACCACAAAATCAAGTTTTGGTCATAGTATCCAAAAATGGGTTTTATGGGGGTTTATAGAAGTTGAGTATTTCAATCTGTTTTTCAGAGAGTTTAAGCCTTAATAAGTGTTCTTAAACCCTTTTTAACCTTTAAAATCAAACTAGTTACTCAAGTGTTTGATTTTTTGCTTAGTGAGAGAAGTTGGAGAAAGCTCCAAGAACAAAGAAAATGAGAAATTGACTCTTGGGTAAGTTTTGGTGCTCTAGTAGCTTAGGAAAATCAAGGTAACT